GCCAGCGAGCCAACCAAGCAGCCAACCAGCCAAAGAACCAGCCAGCCAGCCAACCAGGCCACCAACCAACTGCCAACCAGCCGCGAGGGGGCGGAGCGTGCCGAGAGGCATCTCTGAAGCTGGCGGTGGCGGCGCGCCAAAATGCAATCCGAGAGCGGTTTTTTTTTCGCCACGGCGGCGAGCGGTTGTCCCCGCGGGCAGCTGAGGAATTCCGAAGAATCCGAAGGAATCCGGAGGAATTCCGAAGAATCCGAAGGAATCCGGAGGAATTCCGAAGAATCCGAAGGAATCCGGAGGAATTCCGAAGAATCCGAAGGAATCCGGAGGAGTGCCGAAGGATCCGAAGGAATCCGGAGGAATTCCGAAGAATCCGAAAGAACCCGGAGGAATTCTGAAGAATCCGAAAGAATCCTGAGGAATTCTGAAAAATCCGAAGGAATCCTTGGGAATTCCGAAGAATCCGAAGGAATCCGGGGGAATTCCGAAGATCCCATCCATGGTTATAATTGGTGCCATTTCTGGTTGGAATTGGTTTCTTTTCTGGTTGCAATTCGCCCCGAACGGTTGGAATTGGGATTAGTCGGTTGTAATTCGTTCCATTTCGGGGTCGGACCCCCCCCCCCCCCCTCTTGAAAGGGGGGAGGGAGGGGGGGGTCCCCGACGACGGATCGGGAAAGGGGGGAGGGGGGGGGGTCCCCGACGACGGATCGGGGAAGGGGGGGAGGGGGGGGGTCCCCGACGACGGATCGGGGGGGGGGGAGAGGGGAGGTTCCTAACCCCCCCCCCCTTGGGGAGATCCAGCGGCGCACCCTCGTAATCTTGCTGCACTCCGACACAAAAGGAGTCCTTGTATGGGGGGTTGAGAAGGGATTTTTCCAGTGCGGTCTACAAAAGGGGGGCTTTTTCTCTTCCGATGCTGTTCCCCAATCAGAGCTTGCTTCTGTATGGGTCCTACCGGATTCTAAAGGGTTAGGATTTGTTCGGCGCCGTTTCGGTGGCCGGTGCCCAGGTGCCCGGGTGCCCGTAGGTGCCCAGTGCCCCAGGATTTCGGTGGCCGGTGGCCGGGTGCCCGGGTGCCCGGGTGCCCGTGGGTGCCCGGGTGCCCGGGTCTTCGGGGGTGCCCGGAGGTGCCCGGGGGTGCCCCGGTTCCCTACAGCCATATCTCCCTATAGCCTTATAGTTCTATAACCCAATAGCCCAACAGCCCATATAGCCCATATAGCCGTATAGCCCAATAGCCCTGTAGCCCTATAGCCCCCTATAGCCCTATAGCTCTATGGCCCTTTAGCTCTAGAGCCCTAGAGCCCTATAGCTCTAGAGCCCTATAGCCCTATAGCTCTATAGTCTTATAGCCCTATAGCCCTATAGCCCTATAGTCCTATAGCCCCTTTAGTCCAACAACCCAATGGCCCTATAGCACTATACCCCAATAACCCTATAGCCCATGTAGCCCTGCAGCCCCATATCCCCATAGCCCTATAGTCCTATAACCCCATAGCCCCAACACAAACATCTGATTTGGGTTTTCCTCCGGTATCATTACAGAAAAGGTTCCTTGTGTGGCGGGTTACACATGTATTCCTTTAGTACTGGTTACTCAAGAGTTCTTTCTGTGGTACCTTACAACAGATTCGTTTTATCGCGCGTTACAAAAAAAATCGTTTTGTTGTGGGTTACACAAGGGTTTCTTCTTGTAGAATTGTAAACGGATTCTCTTTCTAGCGGATTACAAAAGGATCTGTTCTGCTGAAGATTCTGAACGGATTCCCTTGGCGCGGGTTACAAACGGATTTCGCTTGTTGCGGCAAGTTGTCTAGTTTGTTCTTTCCTTCTTTGAGGAGCTGTTCTTTTTGATTATTTTCGTGTCGCTGTTTTTTATATAAAAAACGATCTCTTATGACGTTCCCCAGCTCGGAAAGGAGGGGCCCCTTCTTTTCCGATGCGGTTACAACAGGATTCCTGATTTGGCGGGTTACAAAAAAGGATTCCCTTTGTGTTGGCTTGCGCCTGACAAAGGATCCCTCGTGTCGCGCGTTACAAACGGGATTCCTTTTGAGGCAAGTTACAAACGGATTCCTTTTGTGGAGGACTGCAAAAGGATTCGTTGTGTGGCGGTTTACATCGTGATTTTCCCCCTTGTGTGGAGGATTCGGAATAATTCTTCTGTGCGGATTACTAAAGGTTTCCAGCCGTCGCGACATTGTTTCCTTATGTTATCTGTCATCACCTCAAGGATTCCCCAGTGAATCCTATGTTTCGCTGTGGCTTTACATGTTTGTTGAGGTGCTTCCTTTTTTATGAAAAGAAAACTTGTGCCTTTTCAGGGGGGGGGGCTCCTCCTCCTCCGAGGCGATTGAAAACGTATTCCTGGTGTGGCCTGTTACACACGGATTTTCTTTGTGATGGTTACACGGGGGTTCCATCTGTGGCAACTTACAAAAAACATTACCAATGTTGCCTTTGTGCAATAGGGATTTGTTTTTCTAGCGGATTGCAGCAGGATTTCATTGTTGCGGATTTCAGAAGTATTCTTTCTGGGGCAGGTTTCAGACATATTAGGTTTGTCGCGGGTTGTAGTGGAAGGCTATGTGGTGGAGGTTTGTAACAGATCGTTATGTAGCGGGTTGCAACATGATTCCGAGCGTAGCTGCATGTGTTTTCATGTTCCTGGTCCCCCCCCCCGAGGCCTGCGCATTTTTATAGGTTTCGCTTCCCGCCCCTGTTCCCTCTATTTGTGCGGGAAGGTGGACGCCTTTTCTTCCGAGGCGATTGCAGAAACATTCGTTTTGCCGCGGATTACAACGCATGTCTTTGATTTTGGTTATAGCTGGATTATCTTTGAGGCGGGCTACATCAGGATTCTTACTTTTGCGCGTTGCAGCGGATTTCTCTTGTGGCTGGTCACAACGGTGTCCCATTGTGGCGGATTGCACGTTTTTTTTTTGCTGCGGGCTTTGAACATCATTTTTCGTTGCGAGTTACTACGACTGAATTCCTTCTGTGGCGGCTTAGCAGGTGTATTTGTTGCGTATAAGTGCGAAGCAATAGTATCGTTGCCTTATCGGTGCCGTCTACAACATGTCCCGACTGTATCGGTTTACGAAGTGTCCTTTTTGTGGCGGGTTGCAACGGGATTCTCATTGTGGCGGGTACAGAAAGCTTCTTACTGTGGCGGCGCACAGCAGACTTCCATGCATCCCGCCCCGCCTTGCCGACCCACACTCGCCCCACGCACCCCGCCCACAGTCGCCGCCCCAACCAGAGTAATTATCCCCCCGCCCCACCCACCCACCATCTCCCAGCCCCCTTCCCCACCCACAGTTGCCCTACCACCCCGACCCAATCGTCCCCCCCCCCACCCCCACCCACAGTCGTTTCACCCTCCCTCCCACCCGTCGCCCCACCACCCCCGCCCACCGTCGTGCCCCCACCCCCACCAACAGTCGAGTCCCCCTCTCCCCCGCCGTCGTCCCACCTCCTTCCCCAGCCAACGTCGCCAACCACCACAATGAACTTTTATGATGAATGATGTTTGGATGGGATCGGTTTTGCGGAGTGATATTTGGATGCATGCGTGTTGAGTTTTGGGAGCAGGATATTGTGATCACTCATATATCGTATCTTATCGTAGATCTTACCGGGTTACCGACTACTATCACGTACCACATTTTATATGTCATCTCATGTGTGGTTGTATCTTTTTCGCACGTGGTATCTCATATAATCTCGCGTCTGGCATTGAATAATCAGCTTTTTGTTCGCAACTGTGCATTGCTGCGGGCAAAACGCGGAAATGGAAGGAGATGAAACTGCACACGGGGACGGGAATGGAGGTACTGGAGGTGGCGATGGAGATGGGGATGGAGATGGAGATGGAGACGGGGATGGAGGTAGGGATGCGGATGGGGACGCCGATGGAGGTGGGGATGGGAGGCGGGAGACATGGATAGACACAAGGTGGAAGAGGGCGGGCGGGTGGACGAGAGGAGGCGCGAAGAGAGGACAGGAAGGGGGGATTGGGAAGGGAGCGAACGAGGACAGGGACACAGAATGAAGAAAGGGCAGGAGGGAGAGAGGGGAGCATGGGGGAGGGGAGAGGAAGAAGAACCGGGAACGGAGTGAGGACGCGACGCAGAAGAAGAGAGAGAGAGAGAGACAGAGAGAGGAAGGAGAGGGGACGGAACAAGGAGATGGGGGGGGTACTGAATTCGAGTACCCTGTGGTGGTCCGTGTGCTCTGGCCACTCCTGCGATCCATAACAGGCGGGAGCGAAGTTGCAGCGATGGCGTGCAGAAGCAAGCGAATGGGACATGCGGCCGAATGGGAAGGCGATGATGCGAGCCCCAGGGCGCACCCCCACGGTCCCCGGCCTAGAACCCAGACCCCCGACGTCGTGCCGTTTTTTTTTCGCAGCGTCGACCCCCAGAGGTCTGGGCCCCTTCCCCGGGACCGGGTGTTTTCGTCCCGAGCCGTTTCCGGACGTTCCCGAGACCTGGGGTGAAGGGCACCTGGAGGCCGAAGAGAACGCACAACCTCCCGTCGCGGTCTCCTCACAGCGCTGGGCGGTCTGGGGACCCAGACCCCCTCGAGTAATGAAAAAAACATGACGTAAGGTTTTTCTTGTTTCCTCACAGCGTTGGGCGGTCTGGGGACCCAGACCCCCTCGAGTAATGAAAAAATCATCCAGGGGCCCTCACCGGGCCTCGCGTCAAAGAACGACTCAGGATGCAAAGCCAGCCATGGGGAAAGGGCCGGGACCTCTGGGGGTCGACATAAGGAACCAAATCCAGACATGCAACGTCCTGATTTTTTCAGGACGGGGTCCCTGGACGTCCCTAGCCGTTCCCCGGGACCGGTTTTTCATCCTGAGTCTTACTTTGACGCCCCCGAGGCCCGGCGAGGGCCCCCCGAGGCCGAAACTGGCCAGAAACCTCCCGCCCTGATTTTTTTTTACGGCGCGATCATGTCTGGGAGCATGACGTCGGGGGTCTGGGGAGGAGGACCGGTGCGACGGGGGCTACGACGCGTCGCCGGAGGCGGGCGACATGGTCTCTGGGGCCTGCAGGCCGGGCGGGCCCCTCCGCGACTGGCCCCTGCGCGCCGCGGGCGCGGAGGCCGGCCCTTTGGAGAGGTTCCGGGTGGTCGCGGGCGCCAGGAGCCTTGCCTGGCGAAGTGCGTCCCCAGGTATGATCGCGTCGGACAGAAATCGGGACGGGAGGTTTCTGGCCAGTTTCGGCCTCAGGGGGCCCTCGCCGGGCCTCGGGGGCGTCTACATACGACTCAGGATGAAAAACCGGTCCCGGGGAAAGGCTCGGGAAGTCCAGGGACCCTGTCCTGAAGAACTCAGGACGTCGCATGTTTGGGTCTCGTGTTTTTCGGTCTGGGTTCTCTCGAGCGTGTTTCTCTATTGCTTGGGGCATAATGGGCATTATAGCCCCCGACCCCCTCTTCCCCCACCCACCTATAACGTAACGCCCCTTCCCCCCCAGTGCGCTCTGGGCACTGCCGCCGTGCGCATCGGTCACACGGCGGGGGGGAGGCGTTACATTGTACCCCCCCCCCGGCCCTCCCCCCCTCCCCCCTATAGTGCCCATCATCGCCAAAAATACAAAACGCGCTCCTCAGCGGCGAGCCAAGGGGGGAAGCGAGAAGGAAAAGGCCTGCTCAGAAGGCGGCGGGACTTCTCAGAACCCCCCGCGCCTTTGCGAGGTTGTGTGTGCATCTTCGGACAGGGCCTGGAAAACTTCTCTGAAGGCCAGGGGGTTCCCGAATCTTCTGAGGAGGCCTTCGCCTTCTTGCCTCCCCCCCCTCGCTGGCCGCCGATCCTCGCTGCGTGGCGGCCTCGTTCCGTTTTTCGTTTTCGTTTTGGACAAGTTTCGTTTTAAAACGTTCGTTGAAGCTTTCGGCTTCGTTTTCTTCTTCGTTCGAAGCGCAAGCGCGTTTTGAACATCGCTGTGCTCCTCGGCTCCTGCAGGAAGGGCACGGTCGGCCTGCTCAGCCACCACGGCACCTACGTCGCAGCTCAGAGCGATGGCTTCGTCTCCGTGGACGGCGGCGGCGTGGGCGACTGGGAGACATTCGAGGAGGTTTGGCTCCCAAACGGGCGCGTCGCCTTCAAGAGCTTCCACGGTGGCTTCCTTGCGCCAGCGGAGGGCGGCACGGTCCTGGCCAGCGCAAGAGGGTCCGGCGACCAGGAGTCGTTCGAGGTGAGGGAGCACGCGGAGGACGGCAGCATCTCGCTTATGACCGCTGACGGCAGCTTCCTCAGCGCTGCTCGCTTGGGTGTGGCCGCGAACGCTGAGCTCCGGGCCGACGGGGAGCTGGCTGGCAGTTGGGCCACCTTCATCCTGCGTGTGAAGCAGCAGGAGGGCCGGACGCTCCTCCCAGACTCTGCCTGGCTCGGCGAGACGGTCACGCTGCAGTCGCACTTGGGCACCTACGTCGGGGTCGGTCCCGACGGGGATGTCACGGTCAGCGCTCAGGAGAAGGACGTGGGTCGTTGCGAAGAGTTCACGCTGGTGGACGGGGGTGAGGACGGCATAGCCCTGCAGACGTGCAAGGGCACGTTCCTGGGCGCTGGGCCGAGCGGTTCCGTCGCCTCAGACGTGGAAGAGCCCGGGGAGCGGGACCACTTCCTTATCGACATCGTGGACGTCAAAGTCTTCTTCAGCGCTTTGGACCTGCCTGTTTCGAAGCTAGGAAGGTTGACGAACGAGAACCTGAAGTGGTCTAATTTGTCCATATTGGATCCGAACCTGGTGCCCCACAAGCCGCCTCAGCCGGTCGTCCTGAAGACGACCCATGGCGGGTACCTCTTCCCACTGGAGCATGCCAAGAGGGGCTCAGATAAGCTGATGCCCTCGAACGCTACCCGAGTGACTCAGGCGGTGATCTTCACGCGCACATGCGAGGACAGCGGCTTGCTGCCCATTGCCAACCAAAGCGCGTGCCAGGCCGCCGCCAGAAGCATCGGGCTGGTAAAGTCGAAGGCCGACGTCGACGTCAAGATTGTCGAGGACGCTGGGGTTCCAGAGGGGTGCTACGTGGAGAACTTGACCCGCTTCCGCCTGGGCACGAACCCTTTAAACAATGGCACTGGGGTGTCGCACAGGAAAGACGGCACAACGCTGAATCCCATCTGTGTTGGCGTCTGCCCCAAGTGTGCCATGCCAGAGCCGACGGCGCCTGCGCTCGTGATCTTCTTCAATGAGCGTGACCTCTGCAAGATGCGTATCCTGGCCTCGTCGATCACGAGGCACGACCCCAACCAGCTGATTGGCGCAGTGCACCTCGTCTGGCTCTCAACTCACCCCCCCAATGAGTTCATGGGGGGCATCGACTCCATCCGCAACGCCGCCTCGGCAACGCACAAGGTACGGTTCCACGACATGTCCTGGATGTTCCGCAGCGGCATGGAGGGTCCGAAAGTGCAGCAGATTGTGAAGCTAAAGGCCTCAAGCTTGGTCGAGGAGGACTACTATCCAGTTGCGCTGCTGCGCATATCTGCAACCGCACCAGAGTGGGAGTGTCTGGGGTGGGGGGCCTGGGGTGGGTGGTGGGTGGGCGGGGGGGCGTGGCACGGATCCCGCCACCGCAAACCCCGCTTTGGGCATGATGTAGCTCTATGCCGAAGGTGGCACTGCTTGAGCTTTGAAAAAGAATGCGGAAGGAGCTGGCGCATACCGATCAAGGAGGAGGAGGAGGAGGAGGAGGAGGAGGGGGGAGGAGGAGGAGGGGGGAGGAGGAGGAGGAGGAGGAGGAGGGAGGAGGAGGAGGAGGAGGAGGGCATGAGGAGGAGGAGGAGGGAGGAGGAGGAGGAAGGGCGTGAGGAGGAGGAGTAGGAGGAGGGGGAGGAGGGAGGAGGAGGAGGAGGAGGAGGAGGAGGAAGAGGAGGAGGAGGAGTAGGATTAGGTTGGGCACGCCACTAGACCCGCCACCCCGTGCTGGCACCGAGGCCCCAGCGCGACATGGCGAGCCCGTGGATTATCCATCAGTCTCTTCCACCGCCGCCCGCTGGCCCATTGGCCTGCGGGGGCCCACTCCCAGGTGCCAGGGTCGCGGGCACCCTGGGGTTCACGCTCGGCGAACGGGCGGCGGCGGCGGCGACAGGCGCACAGGGCTGCGCCTGTGTCTCGCCGCTGGCGGGCGACGGGCAGAGCGCCTCGTCGTCCTCATCGTACAGCTCCAGCTCAATGTAGTCGGCGGGCTGTACCAATGCCAACCTACTCGAGCTCGAAGCAAAACCACGGCGGCCTAACCCCTTGTCGTGTTTCTCCACCCCACCCCCAATGCTCTTTGGTACAGATAGGATTGCTGATGGGTTTGCCACAGCCATTTTGGCTTAGATGCGTGCACGCACGAGGAGCGTGTGTACTGCCCGGGACCTCCGGGGCCGACTGAAAAGATCTCTTTGCATCCCATGTATCCTTGTCGCTCTCATGTCTTCTAACAATGGTAGCCGGAGCGTGGACGAGGCCGCAGAGGGAGAGCACGGGGATGTTGCAGAGGCTTCAGGGGCCGCCGGGGCAGTGTCAGGTTTCCAAGACGGCACGAGAGATCAGACCGACAACCCCACGAGAGAACAGGATCCGACTTGGGGACGAGGGTGGTGGTCCTGGAGAGGCTGGTCTTGGTCAGACGAGACAGGATGGGATTGGGAGTGCGATGACTGGTGGGACAGTCGCACAGCACTCTGGCCTGTCAAGCGAGACCAGCCCAGCCGTGACTTCTCGGCGCCGCCAGCGTGGCCCGGGATGGACCATCTGAAGATCTAAGTGGCCAACTTGCGCTCCTGGGAGAGGCGCACGGGCTACGCGGAAGAGGCTCGAGCAGGACGTGTACTAGAGACCCTGCCGATTGACCTGCAGGGCAAGTTCGATGGCGTGCGACAAGATCTAGATCATTCTTCTGGTCTCAGCAGGCTCGTCCGCCATCTTGAATTACTCAACGGAGAACGCCCAGGAGACAAAGAGAGAGAGGCACACAACAGGGCGCTCTTCGACTACGGGCTGCACAAGGGAGAAAAACTCACGGACTACGTTGTTCGACGAGATCAGCAGGTGGCTACGGCCGCTCGATACGGTTTGACTCTCCAAGACGCGGTGCTGGCCCCATACCTGGAAGAAGGCGCGATGCTCAGCGCCCAGAACAAGATCAACCTGATAACGATTATGGGATCCGACAAGAGTGCTGCCGCGGTGAAGCGGGCCTTGCTGGAGCTCGACGTGGTGGAGAAGAACACGCTCCCGACTCAGGCAATTTCAACGACGAGAACCTACCGCGTCGGGTCAGACCAGGACGACGACGAGTACGGCATCTACGGTTTGTATGAGGCCGAGTTCGACGAGGACGAGCTGAACGTGATATTAGTTGCTCTGGACGAACAAGATCTGGATGAAGACGAGATAGTGCAGGCTTTTGGTGAGACGACGGCTCCACAACGCCGTCGAACGTGGCATGATTCCAAGCAGCTGAAGAACGCAAAGAGGCTCGATCGTGACTTCTTCGATCGCAGACGCACGGATGGCAGGACTAAGAAGGTGACGAGAGATGACTTCAAGAAGATATCACGTTGCTCAAATTGCGGCGAGCGTGGTCACTGGCGCGATGACTGCCGGAAGCCGTTTCGCAGCAAGAGCGACAGGCCGGGGCCCGAGGAACGCCAGGACGGGCTCGTTCTTCTTCGACCTGGTGGAGTCAGATCCATCGGGAACTTCAGGGACGACCTGGGCGACGTATGCGACCTCCAAGCCGGACATTTTCGCGGGGTCCGAGGGAGACGAGCTGACCTTGCAGAACATGGGCGACATGGCCCTCGTGGACACCGCAGCTGGTCAAGCCCTCATCGGCACCCCGAACGTCGACAAGATGGTCGAGGCTTTCGCCGCCAAGGGTTTCGAGGTGCAGATCGTGAAGACGGGCTTGGACAAGCTACCTCCCGCTCACGGAGTGGGCGGACGTGTCACACCAGTGGGCAAGGCGTTGGTTCCGGTGTCCTTCCACAACTGCGGAGTGGTGGAGTTCCTCATTCTACCTCATCCTTGTCCGGCTTTGCTGCCGGCCAGGTTCCTAGACTACATGAACGCCGTAGTTGATCTGGAGGCCAACGAGCTCAGGGTCGGTGACAGCGACCAGAAGCGAGCAGTGCCTATGACTAGGCTGCCGTCGGGACACAGAGCAATCTCGTTGATCGGTTGCCAGCCAAAGAACTTCAAGCTAGACAAGAGAATTGCCGACAAGTTTCCCCCCTTCGTGAAGAAGCAGGTCAGCTTCGTCGAGACATCGAGGTCACTGACCGACTGCTGGATTAAGATAGGCGACACCACCTTGAGGAGGATCCACATGAACCCCAGGAAGGACAGTTTCATTCCGAGCGAGACAGATGACTTGCCAGTACCTCCAGAGATGTTGATCAGTTGCGCGGTGATGACCTGCCAGAGGATCGATTCGGACCCGGATCGCGACGTGGTCGAGAGCATCGAGTTCAAATGGAGGGAGGGTCCCCTTTCGTACGAGACCGGCCGCTGGATCGGCTACACGGACTTCAGGCTCCAGGAGAACCAGGACAGTAAGGGGGCTCGAGTTTCTGATGTCTGGGGCTCTAGTCTTTCCAGCGTAGGTCCTTCCTCTTCTTGTCTCGGGGAGTCTTGGGAGTCTCGGCAGACGGGAGAAACGACAGACAGGAAAGGGGCCAACCCAATCACCGGAGCGACTCTCGGCTCAAGAAGGCTCGTCAGCTCTAGCCAGCTCGGTCACATTCAGGAACCGGCGTACTATGGCAAAGGTGATCAAGGCGACCCGCGCTCTGAGAGCCTTGAGGCACAAGGCCGGCCGCCGAGCAGCGGCGATCAGTCCGGACTCCGAGGACGAGAGGCTCGCGTCCATCCAGGAGCTGACCGACGAGGACAGCGAGATGGAGCAGAACTGGGACATGCCTCCGGATCCGTGGACGGACGGAGCACTGCGCAGTATCCAGTACGAGGAGGAGGAGATGTCGGAGGCGGAGATCGAGCTCTTCTACGAGGGCAGTTTCATTCTCGTGCCGGCAGTCCGGGGCTGGAGGAGGTTCGTCATCAAGATGCTCATGTGCCTCAGGGTGTGCGCTGCCACGAGGCTTATGGCGGTGGTGGTGCCTCGAGCAGGACGGCTGGAGGCGCAGATCGTGGACCAGGGGGGCTGCCAGCATCCTCAGAGCGCGATCTGGCACGGCGTCAACCAGTGCGCGAGGTACTCCAAGTGCAGGAAATGCGGCAAGTCACTGTCCATGGTTCGCTTCGCCAAGGAGGAGATCGAGGAGAACCGCCGGCAGAGGGACATCAAGAAGAAGGCCAAGCAGGAGCAGCGGATCAAGAAGGACGAGCTGGAGGAGATGGTTCCAGGAGATCGCGCACTTCTTCATCTTGCCAGGTCGGTTCCAGCGGAACCTGCTTCGGGTCTCGACTACGAGGAGGGGGGCCTGGGATCGGCGCCGAAGCTCAGGGTCAAGATGCCACCGACGGGAATGGCCTGGACGTTGAACCCCTCGAGCAGGAGATCGGGCAGCGCGGGCTCAGGAGCTCCTACGGCGAGGAAGGCGGCCCCTGCGAAGGCCCCTCCGGGGCACAGCCAGGCCGAGTGGGATCTCGAGCTGAGAGGACCTCCTCCGAAACCAGCTCCAACTCAGAGGGCCTCCGACCTGGAGATCATGCGGCAGATGATGATCGAGGACAGGGACGTTCGGAACCTTCAGATGGAGAACATGATCGGGGCCATCCAGGCGCTGACCGAGGGTATCAAGGGCAGGCTGGACGAGACGGACGATCACTAGGGGGTCCCGCTCATCAGGAGTCAGGCCACTACGTTTCGGACGGGCGGCTCGACGTCCAGCCTGAGCCTCAGAGAGAGACTCGCTACATGATCGAGGAGCGGTTCGACGCTCCAGCTGTTGGCCTTGCGTGCGACAGCAACTTCGTGTCTCACGAGCGCCAGGCTGTCTCGCCAGACGCTAGCGTTGCAGAGTCAAAAAGAAAGGGCCCAGAAGGTCATCCCTCGCATGACCCGACTGGGCCTCGCAGATCCCACCTGATTCTGGATGAGAGCGATCCTGGACACCTGGAGATTCTGAGGAAGGTCGGTCCCAGGAGCCCGGGGAATTGGGTGGCTTGGGGGTTCGAGGCCTCCAAGGCCCGAGTCGATCGAGGTCTGGGGAAGCGGCCCCGGGTGTCGGAGGAGATCTGGGACCTGGTCCAGGGCCCCAGAGTTTCTCTTAATGACGTTTCGCAACAAATGGGCTGGGTCTCCAGGGAGCTTGCGCCAGAGGAGTTGAGTGCGTGGGCGGTGCACATGGCCCTGAGGGCTTCAGGAAAAGAAGCTAAGGACCCTCTTCCCATGATGAGAAGGTTTCGAGTTGTCAATCGAGGAACGGGGGTCACCATTCTAGACATCTTGGCGGCTCAGACTTCGTTCTCGGGAACTCTTGGGGTTCTGGTGGGTTATCCCCGGAGCA